CCCTTTCCTGTTTTCTTTGATTTGAGGAACAAAAGAGTGTCAAGTTGAAGAATTTTATGGCTTACAGCATACAAGGCACAAACATGTTGTTGAGGTATGAATACTTCCTAGATTTCTTGACTACCAAGTTATAATTAGTATAGCTATTGAATTGAGCAAGGGAGAGTAAGAGCAGAAATAGGAATATTAGGTAGGTGCCAATAGCTCACACCTACAATCCTAAGGAGGCTGAGATTAGAAGATTAAGTTAAGAAGCCAGCCTAGACAGAAAAGTCCATTAACCAGAAAAGGCCAGTTAACCAGCAAAAAGCTTGAAGCAGAGGTGTGACTGAAGTGTTAGAGAACCAGCCCGAACAGAAAAGGCCAAGTGAAAGCAACAGGCCTTGAGTTCATGTGTCCCAGTACACACACACACACACACCAGAGAGAGAGAAATAACAATATTATGGAGATCATATAGCAAGAATTACAAATATAAACAAAAATGTGAATATTCTTGATGGAATAATGAAAAAAACAAAGAAAATATGTATTGAAAAAAAGTTTGCTAGATGATCACATGCAAAAGTGAGATTTTAAGAAAATTATTCTCAGAATAGTCTGGAAGATGAATTAAAAGATGAAGAATGAGAGGAAGAACAGAGAATAGAAAAACCAGTAACAATGCTGTTAAAACTGCCAAAAGCCTCTGAATTGAAAACTATTGGCAACAATATTAGAAAGAAACAAAAAGAGTTATTCCACATGCAGAATCAGCAAAAGCTGCTGACTGAAGCTTCAGTTAGCTAAGATCTTGAAGATAGGATAGAGGTGATGCAAAGGTTATAAGTTAGGATATATTCAGTTTGAAGAGGTCTTGGATAATTATTCTTCAAGCAATTAAAAAGAAGGGCAGAAACTATATAAAGGGATGGGGTTGCAAGTCACTGTTACAGGGATCATATAATTATGGATGATCCTTATTTCACCAGTGAAAAGGTTCAAAACCTTCAAATGAGGTTCAAGTGAGTGCTAACTTGAGCGATTTTATAGCCTGTTGGCATTCCAGGGACAAGAATGTTGTTGAGATGTGAATTAATTCTCAAGCCATGAAAAACATGGAGAAACCTTAAGTGCATATTACTGTGGGCGAGAAGCCAATCTGAAATGGTTTAATGTTACATGGTTCCAACAGTTTCATCTACTAGAAAAGGCAAAAATAAGGCAGCATTATAAAGATAGATGACTTGTTTGGGCTATGAGTGGGATGAATAAGTAGAGCACAGGGGAATTTGAGGGCAGTGAAAGTACTCTGTATGACAGTACAGAGATAGATACACAGGAGTGCCTTAACCCTAATATAAAACCAAAGGCATACTTTGGGTGATAATGATGAGTCCATGCTGATTTGTTGTTCCTAGCAAATATACAATGCTAGTATAATATATCATGGCAGGAGATGCTGTGTTTTTTGCAGGAAAGGGGTGGATACACAACTAATCTTTATTTTCCACTCCATTTCTCTGTAAATCTATATGCAGAACCAGATGCTAGTGGCTTACACTTGTAATCTTAGCTACTTGAGAGGCTGAGATCTGAGGATCAAAATTTGAAGCCAGCCCAGGCAGGAAAAGCCATGAGACCCTTATCTCCAATTAAGTATCAAAAAGCTCAAGGGCCTGGGAAGGTGGCTCAGTGGTAGAGTGCTTGCCTTGCATGCATGAGGTCCTGGGTTTGATTCCTCAGCACCAGATAAGCAGAAAAAGCTGAAAGTGGTGCTGGAGCTCAAGTGGTAGAGCACTAGCCTTGAGCTGAAGAGCTGAGGGACAGTGCCCAGGCCTAGAGTTCAGGCCCTACAACTGGACCCCCCACCCCAAAAAAAGAAATTCTAATTGTTGGAACATTGATCTATATGAAATAATTTGTTCTATTTATAAAACACATATAAAATATATGTTTCTAAGAAATAGATATTATTATTTCATTGTTCTAGGTAATAGATGATACATTGCTCCTGCTTTTTCCAGGTAATAAGAGTTGGTTTCTTTTTTGTTGTTGTTGCTTTGTTTTGATTTTTGCTTGTCCTGGGGCTTAAATTCTGGGCTTGGACACTGTCCCTAGTCTCCTTTGCTCAAGGCAAGCACTCTACCACTTGAAACAAAGCTCCACTTCCAGTTTTTTTTCTGTGATTAATTGGAGATAAGAGTCTCACAGATTGTCTGCCAGGCCTGGCTTTGCACCTCGTTCCTCAGATCTCAGCCTCCTGAGTAGCTAGGATTATAGGCGTGAGTCACTGGTGCTTGGCAATAAGGTGTTTAATATGATAGAAAGTGAAGATAGAGATGGATGAGTTAAAATCTAGACTCTAGGCCCAATTTCACCAGTAGCGTTCTTAAATTTTACCTTCTTGTGAATCATTTTTCTCAGAAAAGCAAAGGGTTTTGGTTATGTAATCTCTAAATTCACTTCTACCCTGAGTATTTATCACCATGTGAAACAAATATAAATTTCTAACAAATTGTTAGGCTCCCCCTTCTATATTTACTACTGAAAGGTAACTGTGTACGAAAAGGTAAGAAATTTGAGTATTGGGAGAGGGATTTGAATTCATCAAAATTTTCTGAGATTCTTCTATGACAAGCTTTGACTCTGAAAAAGCTGGTTTTCCTACTGTTCCAACTCAGGTTTCCTTCTGACTCAAAGAATCTGAAATTACTGGCACAACTCTGGATAATTCAATCTTTAAGTCATTCACCCAAAGGGAGATAGAATAAGGCTATGCCATGAGTCATGACTTCAGACATAGGCTAAAACAAGTTTGAATATGTTCTGAGTTTGTTTCTAGGTAGCAATTCCCTTTCACCCTTTTGGTGACCACCTCATTTAACCAAGTACAATATGAACAATGTATATTATTTTTAATGCCAGTTCTGGTCTTGAACTCAGGACCTGAGGAGTGTCCTTGAACTTTTTTGCTCAAGACTAGCACTCTACCTCTTGACCCATAGTTCCACTTCTGGCATTTTGGTGGTAAATTGGAGATAAGAGTCCCCACAGGCTTTCCTTCCCCCCACTGGCTTTGAACTGTGATCCTCAGATCTCAGCCTCCTGAGTAGCTGGAATTAAGGATGAGCTTCTGGTGCCCGGAACAAATAATGTATATTTTTAAGGTCAGAAAGCCTTAAGATTGACTCTTGATTATGTGAATACTTACTATAGGTCTGAATTTTACTTAAGGTAGGTGTTCCATTGTCTTTTAAAGCAGTTACTTAAAAATTCAATGTATATCTTACAAAATTTAGAAGAGTAAGGGAAGGGGCAGGAGAAATGTGTAAGAATGTTGAAAGGAGTGATTTGATCAAGATGCACTGAATTCATAAACTGATTTGTAGAATAGCAGCTCCTTTGTTCAACTACCTAGAATTTTTTAAAGCAATAACACAATGACTAGAAGGACATAGAAGATGCAGACTGGAAGGCCAGTTAGGATTGTTTGCAATCATATGTAGTAATTCATTGATAGATATTCACTGCCTCCTGTTGGTTCACTGCCCACAAATGATGCTCATTCAACCTCTCGGTGCTAAACTAAAGCTAATTCTCTTTTTGTTCTAGCACTGGGGCTTGGCCTCAGGGCCTTGACACTGTCCTTCAGCTTTCTTGCTCCAGGCAGCCATGCTACTTCTTGAGCCATAGCTTCAGTTGTGGATTTTGGGTGGTTAATTGGAGACAAGAGTGTTAAGGACATCCTACCTGAGCTGGCTTTGTACTGCTGATCCTCAGATCTCAATCTTCTAAGTAGTTAAGATTATAGGCATGAGCTACAAAAACTTGGCTTATTTAGGTTTGTGTGTTGAAATAAGTCACTAAAATAGTTAACTATGAAGAATATAGCTGCAAATTTGTGCTCCTTAAAAGGCTGATATAATCTGGGAGCCTGTGCTTCATGTCTGTAATCCTAGCTATTCAGGAGACTGAGGTCTCTGGCAGGAAAGTCCATGACTCTCTTATCTCCAATTAACCACAGAAAACCAGAAGTGGCACTGTAGCTCAAAGTGGTAGAGCACTAGCCTTGAGTGAAAAAGCTCTGGAACAGTGCCCAGGCCCTGAGTTCAAGCTATATGACCACCACCACCACAACAACAAAAAAGCCTATATAAAGTGGGTGCCAATGGCTTACCCCTGTAATTCTAGTTAGTTAGGAGGCTGAGATCTGAGGATCATGGTTCACAGCCAGCCCAGGCAGGAAAGTCCATGAGACTCTTATCTCCAACTAATCACCAAAAAGCCAGAAATGGAGCTGTGGCTCAAGTGGTAGAGTGCTAGCCTTGAGCCCAAAAGTCCAAGGACAGCACCCAAGCCCTGAATTCAAGTCCCAGAACTGGCATGAAAGAAAAGGCTGATATAACTGTTTAGTTAAGGTGCAAATTGTGAGGGCAAAAGAAATATGTGTGGAGGGAGAAATATAGAACTAACAGGCTCTAGAGATGATAAGAGAATATGCATGTAACCTCTGGGTGACAGGACAGAATATCAATTCTTGACAGCTCCTCAAGTCCTTTGGAACTAAATTAGAGATCTTTTTTTTTGCACTCAACGGGACAGATACATCTTTAAAATACCCATATAGTCACATCCCTGACACCATTTTATTTTTCGCATGCCACTTTCAGTGGCTTTTAGTCCCTTGCAACCCAAAGAAATCTTCCAGGAAAATAAATCAAAAGATAGTAAGTTCAATAGAAACGTGTTAGAGGAAAAAAAGGGAAGAATAAAAGAAAGAGAAGGCTATTTGATCAATTGGGTGTTTTAAAGCTATTCAAAGAGGAGATAAAAATCCTCTAAAATGAGCCCACAAAGCCTCTTTATCTTGACTTGCCACACACTCTCCAGTAATCCAATCATTTATCTCAAAATCCCTGATATCATCATAGTAGTGTATTTGCTTTCAACCTACGCAATAAAAAGTCATCAATAAGGATTTCAGAACATGAATTTTGATTTATTTAAGTTTTTTCTGGTTCTCTTCCCTTTTTCCCCCTCTTCTTTCACTTCCACTCCCAGATTACAAACATGCTCGTGTGTGTACACACACATGAAAACACAAAAGACACACTTCTTATTAAGACAAAAGGTAACAGCAGACATACCCATCCAATTATTTGACCAGTGAAAACAAAACTAAAATATATATGTATTTGCATAAAGCAGTCTTTACTTATACTTTTCCTTGCCTACAAAAGCTTTCATTTCAATTCTAATGAACAGAGCAGATACTTCAAGATAGTCTTTGACAATGGCATGCATGCATATGCCTGAGTAAAATCCATGATACTCATCTTCCCTATCTTTTTTAAGTAAAAGCAATTCAAGTGTCAAGCCTTTTATTCTTGGAAATAATTACTTACATAATTGCTCCCTCTTTACTCACTTTCTATTAAAAGTAATTGATAATTTTACAATTACTTGACCGTTCTTTGAACCTCCTGGAAGGCTGTTGTCAATTTTTTCCACTCAGGCTGATAATATGATAGCAATTTGTGTGTATGTGTGCAATGTGTGTGCATGTGTGAGTGTGTGTGTATGTATGTGTGTGTATTTACAGTTTAAAAATTGCATTCACATTTCCTATAGTAACCTCTAGCTCAGAAGGAGCAATACAGAAATACAAATAACACAGAGTAGTAAGCAAGTTTAAAATATGGTGCTAAGAAACACTTTGGAAATGGTGTCTCAGCATTTCTCAAGCAACTAAATCTTGTGGCTCTACTTAATTTGTCTTCACCAAAAAAATATGCCTGTATATCTAGAGTCATGTGTATGTACATATGTCTACACATCAAATATTTTCCTTCAATTGCATCCATCCACAATCTAAGAGAGGTTGGAAGCCATATACATAGAATGGGATGACATGTAAGAAGGACAATACCAAAAAAAAAAGGCTCTACTGGTTATCGTGAAGGGAGTGTCATTGCTCCAAATTAGACTCAACACCTAAGAGTGATTAATGTGTGCATTTATAAAGGACATAGTTGGCATGAGAATAGAAAGAGAGAGAAAAAAGTACTCTATTGGTTTGTATTTTCTGGGTGATTTTTTTAAAAAGCATCACTCACGATAGAAAACATACTCAGTGTAAGAGGTCCAGATCTTGTCATCAGTCTGGTCATGTGTCACAGTGCAGGTGCCAGTGGAGTTGCATGCTACCATGTGGAAGCCAGCATCAGCTAGTTTGTCAAAGGCTTGTTCAAGAAAAGTGAACTTGAGGTAGTAACGTGAAGTATATCGCTCAGGAGGACGATCAGGGTCTCTGCTCTCATTCAGTGTATCTCCAAACACTTCTTTGGCCAGTGAGATCTTACCACACACCATGATTCGGGCCACACGGCGGAATTTGGCATCTGTTTGACTATCCCGACCCAGAGTATAAGAGCCTCGATAACCAATTGTGATGAAGCCTGCCTTCTTGAGATCAGAACCAGTGGCCATTTTCACAGCTAGGTTGCTATCAGGGCCAGTAATTGGGATGGTATTACTTGAAGAGAGATTAAGCACAGTGTCAATGCTGGGAGACAACTCTTCTAGGTCACTTTGGCATAGGTCATTGCCAGGTGAGTTGAGCTTGTTTATTTTAAGAGCCAACATCTTGACCAGTTCTGGCAACTTGAAGTATTCTGCTTCCCTCTGGAGACGACCACACTCTGGAAAATGGTCAGGAAGAATGACTTGCAGATCTCTCATGTAGTCTAGCACATAGCGAAAGAGAAAACCATCTCGATCTATGAAGAATCTTCCTTTGCTGTCTTGAATCAGGGAGCAAGGATTCTTTTCATTGAACATTTCCCAGAGCAGGGAACCAGGAATGCTGACCAAAGTAGGGTAGCGAGTTATATAAACCTGACCACCTACATTAAGTTCAATAATCTCAGGGAAATTACGGAAATTCTCACTTGGATTGGTACAAATTGATTTTTCTGGCATGGCCATATTGACCTGCAAAAAAACAAAACATACTGGTTTTAAGTAAGGGTTTACAAAATGAGAATTGTGTTTATATGAATTCATTTGCCTAAAATATATACTCTGTATCTCAAGAAATTCACGCAAAAGCATAAACTTTCCTATCTGTACTTAGCTTGAGAATGATAGCATAGTAAATCTGGATGGTTTGTTTTGGCTTTGCAATGCTTTTTTTTAACGTGTGTGTGTGTGTGTGTGTGTGTGTGTGTGTGTGTGTGTGTGTGTGTGTGTGTGTGTGCCGATCTTGGGACTTGAACTCAGGGCCTGGACGCTGTTCCTGAGGATTTTTGCTCAAGAGTAGAGCTCTACCACTTTAAGCCACAAATCCACTCTGGCTTTGTTGTGGTTAATTGGAGATAAGAGTCTCAAGGACTTTCACAACCAGGCTGACTTAGAACTTCAATCTTCACATCTCCATCTCTTGAGTAACTAGGATTATAGTCGTGAGTCACCAACACCCACCTGCTTCTTTTAAATCAGGTGCTGGAGACTGAACCTATAGTTTCTAGTACCCTAAACAAGTAGTTTACTACTGGGTCACACCTTTGCCCTTGCAATTTTTTTCTCAGATGTCCCTCTGAATTCTGTGTGTCACATAATCCTTCACTCAGTTCATGGCAGGTTATCACAGTTCATACCAACACCTTTTTCTCTTATTATTATTAATTAAAATTTATCCTCATACTCCATTCTCATTCCTGTATATACATACACTATAAGCTGACAAGTCTAGTATAAGTCTTGTTGTTTGTATGTATTCTTACCAAACATATTTTATAGTTTAGGTAGATACATACATTATTTTATTATATATTTCATTCTTTTTTCACTCTCAGCATTATATTATGAAGATTATGCTTATGTGCACACATCTAATCCCTTGCTTCTAATTAAGGAATAACCAACCACATTTTACCATTTCTATTTCCAATTATTAAAACCTAGATTACTTTTTTTTTTGCCAGTTTTGGGGCCTGAACTCTGGGCCTGGGCGCTGTCCCTCAGCTCTTCAGCTCAAGGCTAGCACTCTACCACTTGAGCCACAGCTCCACTTCCAGCTTCTTCTGTTTATGTGGTGCTGAGGAATCAAACCCAGGGCCTCATGGATGCAAGGCAAGCGCTCTACCACTGAGCCACCTTCCCAGCACCCCTGGCTTACTTTTAACACTTTCTTCTAAATTGCACATTCTTGCATATGTTCTCTATAATTCCAAATTCTGGCCTCTTTCTTTTAAACTTCAATTTATTGCAACTGTTTACTGATTGCTATGGGAGCACTTTGAATTCAAGGCATCCAAATTACTTTTTTTTGTAAATAAAGTTGTTTTGTGAAATGTTATTTCTCATTATTTGTATTCATGTTTCCAGCCTAACCATGTTATATTTTCCAACCTTTCCCTGCCCCTAGTCAGTAACACCATAATTTTCTCAGTTATTTGATTTTGAAATTCAGAAACCTCAGAGGTATCTTAATGTCATATTCATCCTTCTTATTCATATTTCCCACAAACTATTTATTATATTGTCTGTAATACATTATTATTACTATCACTTCCTTTTTTAATTGGTTGTGGGGCTTGAACTCTGGGCCTTGGCACTGTCCCTGAGCTCTTCAGCTCAAGGCTAGCGCTCTACCACTTTGAGCCACAGCGCCACTTCCGATTTTCTGGTGGTAAATTGGACGTAAGAGTCTCACAGACTTTCTTGCCCATGCTAGCTTTGAACCCTAATCCTCACCTCTCAGCCTCCTGAATAGCTAGGATTACAGGCATGAACCACCAGCACCTGGCTTACTATCCTTTTTTTTTTTTTGGTGGGTCCTGGGACTTGAACTCTGGATCTGGGCGCTGTCCCTGATCTCTTCAGCTCAAGGCTAGTGCTCTACCACTTTGAGCCACAGTGCCACTTCCAGTTTTCAGGTGGTTAGTTGGAGATAAGAGTCTCACACACTTTCCTGCCCGGGCTGGCTTTGAACCACAAATCTCAATTTCAGCTTCCTGAGTAGCTAGGATTACAGGTGTGAGCCACCGGCACCCAGCTACTATCACTTCTTATTTCATATTCTGTACTAATATGAGAACATCCTAACTGGTATCTCTCTCATTGCTACCCATTCACATTCTCTGTTCCCCAGTCCAACTGAAGACAATGAAAATTCTGTTAGCAGATCAATTGCTATCACTTATCCCTGTTTAACCACCTTCAGTGGCTTGGCTTTGCTTGTATATCAAATCAAAACCTCTTACCTTGGAACTCAAACTCCACAAAGCTAGTCTCATGTTCTTTTAGAATAAGAGTATCTAACACTGTACAGGCCTTACTATGTTTTAGACACTGTTATTAATTGATGAAGTGGGTACTGATAAGCAAATATTTAAATGACAAAACAATGGAGAGAGAATGATAAAAGGGGTGACATTGTTCAAGATGTGTTGTGCTACATTGATGTGTTGAATTTAAACTCCTTTGGGCAAGTATTTGAAGATAATAAAAATAAATAATTGATAAAAATATACTTGCCCAACCTATAACTAGTAAATAACTGTGCTGGTGCACAAACTCAAGCAGTGTCTGTGTTATTAATACTACACTATATTGCTCACTTTTCATTATATCTAAGTACTTTACCTGTAAAAAAAAAAGAGGTTTAATTTATTGTTGCCTCACTATGATACATTCATTTTTTGCTTTTACTTACTCTTTTGTAAATCTGTGTGTGTGTTTGTGTGTGTGTATGTGTGTGTCTCTGTGTGTGTATGTGTGTGTGTGTGAGAGAGAGAGAGAAAGAGAGAGAGAGAGAGAGAGAGAGAGAGAGAGAACATGCTTATGCACTCATGGGGTTTGAATCCAGATCCTGGGTGCTTTTCCTGAGCTTTATCTCTCAAGACTGGCACTCTATCACTTGAGCCACATCTATACGTCTTGTTTTTTGCTGGTTAATTGGAGATAAGAGTTTTCTGCCCAGGCTGGCTAGGAATCTTGATCCTCATACCTCAGCCATCTGATTAGGTATGATTACAGGTCTGATCCATAGCACCAGACTCTTTTGTAAATCTTACTCCACCTCTGTGACATCCATCTGTACTTCAAGAAACAACTCAGGTACTTAATATAGTGTCTCCTTCAAATGTCTATATTAAACTTGAGAAACGTCAGTACTTTTTAACTCAATTGTTTTTCTAGTCTTTTATATAATATTAGTATTCATGTAAATAATAAAATCTAACATTCATGAAGCACTTATGATATACTTCGTATAACTTCTTTTCATATGATAACTTCATTATTTTTAACAATCTTATGAGGTAAATATTATCATTCTGATAGTTCTTCTGCTTTCAGTCTTCATTCACATAGTAATCTGCCCTTCACACAACTATAATTATCTTAGTAAAATGTAAAAGAGATTTTGACCTTTCCTGTAAAAACCTTGTCAAACATACCACAATGAAATTCATACCTGCTATATAAAGTGTATGAAAAAAAATCCTACAATCTGGATTTTGCCTTGTTCTTGCTTGGTCTTTCCCTTTAGCCACACTAGATCAAGATCAGTTCATCAAACTCATCCAATTTGTTATGTCCACATGCCTTAAACATATGATTCCTCTTGCCTTAAATGTTCATTTTTGCTCTATTTATGCCCAATCTCCTTACCCTATTTATGCCCAATCTCCTTACCCTTCATGTGAAATAATATGAGAAACTAACAGGTCTGAATACAAATCCTAACTCTACCACTAAGTAACTGGGTAACTTTAGGAAAACTACTTAATTTGTGTGAGCCTCAGTTTCCTTATCCTGACCCTAACTGTTAAGATAAGGGGAAAAGTATAAAGCATATAAAGTACTTGACACACTGCCTGGCATGTAGTAAGTATTTAAAAGAACACTTTTTAAACTGATATTTTTCAGCAATTCTCTCTTATCTAATACATGTCTAAAGAAAAGCAGTGAAAAAATCTTTCCACTGAGTTGATTATGGCACTAGAAGTCTCATAATGATCCACTGAGATTTTGATAAAATGAAGACTCCTCTTTAACTTTATTTTTTATTTGTCAATGCAGCTTAAAAATATCTTTATTAGAGCACTTATCATAGCATAGATAGAATGTCTATACTGTCTGTATTATTTATAGAAATACATAACTATATATAACACTACTGTTGGTATACCTATGTATATATGTATATCTGTGCCTAAAATAACCTTAAGATACAAAACAATTTTTAAGGATACAGGTGGAACTGTTGCAACAATGAGAAGTACAAGTTGTCATGTTCAAAACGAGCTTTACAACGTCGGTGGGGGGGGGGAAGGAGAAGGATTGGGATTGGGGAGGAGGGGGGAGGCTGGGAAGGGATGTGAAGGGTAAACAAAGGAGGAGGCTGCAATGCTTGGTAAGAAATGTACGCATTATCCTGCCCATGTAATTGTAACCCCTCTGTACAGTATGTTCACAAATAAAATTAAATTAAATTTAAAAAAAGACACAAAGGTCTGGGAAGGTGGCTCAGTGGTAGAGCGCTTGCCTTGCATGCCTGAGGCCCTGGGTTCGATTCCCAGCACCACATAAACAAAAAGAAAAAAAAAAGCCAGAAGTGGCCCTGTGGCTCAAGTGGTAGAGCGCTAGCCTTGAGCTGAAGAGCTGAGGGACAGCGCCCAGGCCCAGAGTTCAGGCCCCACGACTGGACCCAAAAAAAAAAAAAGATACAAAACAATTTTAAATCTCTCTGGATCTTGAGCACTGTGAAGCTGGCAAGTAACAAGTTTCTAGTAATTACAAAATGATGAGTAAATCATCAACAAACAAATATCTTCTTTATTTCATTAGTTTCCCCAAACTACAATATATAACTATAAACCCATTTATGGAAATCTCTTTTGAATATCTTATATGAATAAGAAAAATACATGCACTTGATTTTGCAGATCTGTTTTTTTAAGGTGTACTTATTCCTCCCAAATTAATAAAAGAAATCCAATATGGCTTTTCCCCATTTTACAAGCATTATTTTATAATGCAATTAAGTAGCTAAAAATAAACAGTGTAAAGTGTATGTTCTTTTTTCTTTCTAGCTAGCCTGTTGGCTTTGGCAATAGTTCTGCCCAGGTCATCTGACGTTCTAACATCCTGTGAGTCAGTTTCATTCAATTTGAGGAGTCAAGCTGTGTATTTGATTCTGCCTTTTACATTTACAAAGGAAGTTTCAGCTAACTTCTGAAAACACAATCTTTATTTCTTGAGAAAGAAGGCTGAAGAAAAGCCAGGACAGAAACTGCATGGAACTTTAAGCTGCCACCTCTCTGTGGTACAACCACAAACAATTTAAAACACAAATAGGAATTTTACTCAGCAAGTTATTCATGAGACTATTTACAGCTAGAAGTCTCAAAAGGACATTGCTTATTTTTTAAAGAAATAAAGTTTTTCCAATAATGAAAGAAATTAATTTTTAAAAGCCCTTATTACTGTCATATACGAAGTCAGGCAGGACATGCTTCCCAAATAGAAAAATCTCTATCTTTTTGCATGTATTTGAAATATAAAATATTCTTTTATGTATAAAATCTTTTAATATTCCCTTTTCTCCCTTTCTCTATCCCCATATTATCAGTTTAGCTGGTTTTATTCACAGGGAAGCAAAAATCATTTCATTCAATCTAACCATACCTCGGTTTTTGAAATGCTTGCTTGAGTAATAGCCTTTTAAGGAATCGTGAAATGTCTCATTTATTCTTTTTTGTGCACAAACCAGAGGCTGATAAGGGCTTGTGGTTAGGTGCCCTCAATAAATCAAAGAAAGAAAAGTCCTGTAAGGAGGAAGTAAAGAAGACAATGTGTAATGTAAATGGCTTAAAGCACATGAAAAAAAATCTTTGAACCCAGGTATATATTTCAAACCCAGAAGAGCTGAGCTGTACATTTCAACATTTCAAACAAACGGCTGAAGAAAAGTAACTAATGCATGCATCCTTTCTTTCTGCTATTATATTTGTCCTCATAATTATAGTACTTTGCAACCAAGAACTAATGTGTTCAAAGCAAAAAAAAATCAAAGCAAATCAGATATTTCTAAACACACCATAATGTAACTTCTTTATATTGACAGGTGATTTCTTCTTGAAAATGTGAAAGAACGATTTTCTAAAGAAACCAGACAGTTTACAAACAAATGACCAATTTGCAATTTTATGAAGCCTGAAAACCTTGTATCCTAATCTCTCTTCTCTCCTCTTTTTCCCTTATCTCCTCCCCCTTCTTTCTCCTCCTCCTTCTCCTCCCCCCCTCCTCCGCCCTCTCTCCTCCTCTTCCTTTCCTTCTTGTCTTGGTCCTTCTGTCTCTGTCTCTCCTCTTTTTGATCAATCATTCCTAACTATATACTCACTTACAAGAATGGAATCATCAGTTTAAATTAGAAATGTGGTTCCCACCTTTTATGTTGCTTCGATTCAAGGAAATCCAAGAAATCAAAGTGGATAACAGCGGAACTAAAAGTACAAACAAAAGGACAAAACAACTTTAAGCATTGGAAATAGTTTTTCTTTTACTTGTAGGAGAAAATTCTGAGCAGTATTCCCTTCCCATTCCAACTAGCTTGTATCTGTGGCTTTTTTGTCTGCTAGTAAAATGAAATGCTAGTACCTAGATGATTTGTTTTTTTTTTAATCAACCAAATTATATAATGTCATCTGAATTTGCTCAGTTCTCTTTCTCAATAAAAGCCTCCTTCTGCTTTCAGATCTCTAGCCGGCTTTTCCTATCAGAGGGTTTTACAAGCAGTCCTCTCAATAGAGAAAGGGCAGAGATATGCGTGTCCCCAGCTGAAATGCAGAAGCTCCTGAATTCCAGAAGCAGTGGACTAGAAAATAAAGACAAGGAGATCAATAGTTACCTTGAATCTCCAGCCACTGGGATATTGGCAAGCAAAGCCTCAGTCCCAGTCTGTTTTGCTGCTCGGCTGGCTCAACTTCAGTTCTGAAATGCCTTCCTGTTCTTCTTCCTTTCTGTGTGCTTTGGTGCTTTGAATTTCCCCTTTTAATACTAGCAATTCTGTAGACACTCCTCTTGGCTATGACATGCTTGGCTCCCTCTCCTGCCCGCCTCCCAAATGGAAATGACAAGGAATTCTGCAGTTAGAGGAGGAAGTAAAGGGGGAAAGAAAGGAAGATGACTATAGTGGTGATGTTAATAAATAAATGGAATTTGGGGACAAGGAAGAATTTTTGCTCATTGTTTTCTTTGTACTTGCAGAACAAACAAACATTTGGCAGATGCAAATTACCTGAATTTTTTTTTGTTTTTCTCTTTTATGGTTGTTTCAGACAGTTGCACAAAAGAGATTTCAATTTGACATGTCCACATACGTGTAAGATGCATCTTGGAATAGTATCACCCCTTCCATCTCCCCCCCACACCCCAGCGTCCCATTTATCCCTCCCACAATTGTCACCTTAAGTTTTCTAGTTCAGTCCTCATGTATGTGCATTTGATATTATGGCTTTATTCATCCACAATTCCTCATTTTTATTTGTCTGTCTCCACACCTTTTAGTCTCCAACCCCCTCAGTCCAGACATGTTTTAAGCTTCCTAGTATTCATTTTGTTGAACTGCCTATTCATTGTTCAAAGGAGTTACACCGTGGGATTTCATTCCTGCTTATACCATTCTTTAGTCAGTTTCATTGTGTAAATATGCATTTGACTTTCTTTGTATTTTCACACATATTTATAATTTAGGTCTAACTTCAACATAGGAGAGGCTGGCTTACTTCACCCAATATAATTTTTCCAGTCCACCTACTGTAGACACACATTTATAAACACATACATATATCCATACATATATATGTGCAGAATTTTATGATCCATGAATTAACTGAAAAAGACTCATGAAAGTTCAACATGCCAACCTCCCTTTTATATCTGTGGCCTTTACTTTGCAGCCATCTTGGAATCCAGGAAGTTTAAGATAGGAGACAAAGATATCCTGCCAGGAAGCAAAACTAGTTATTCAGGAAGCTGAGAGCTGAGGATCAAGGTTCAAAGCTAAGCCAAGCAGAAAACCCAAGCCAGGCAAGAAAGTCTGTGGGACTCTCATCTCCAATTAACTACCATAAATCCAGAAACGGAGCTTTCGCTCAAGTGGTAGAGTGCTAGCCTTGAGCAAAAAAGCTCCGGAACAGCACTCTCAGACTCCAAAATCCAATCCCAAGACTGGCATCCCCCCATACAAACTCTCTACAGCAAAAAAGGGCTTGGAGAGTACATGTCCCTTAGTTCAATCCTCACTATATCCAAAAAATGCATGAAGGAAGACAATTGCAGAATGAGAAGGGACCAACTGAAAGGTGGGAGGAGGACAAACATAAGAAAGGATGATAAATATGAGAAATGTGAGGTATGGTAGAAGTGAAGGTAATTAGAATGGAAGTAAATATTTGCACATATAAAAATATATCCAATATTGGTTAATATTTTGTGTGTGTGTGTGTGTGTGGGGCCTGAACTCTGGGCCTGGGCACTGTCCCTCAGCTCTTCAGCTCAAGGCTAGTGCTCTACCACTTGAGCCACATTGCCACTTCAGGCTTTTTCTGCTTATGTGGTGCTGAGGAATTGAACCCAGGGCCTCATGCATGCAAGGCAAGCACTCTACCACTGAGCCACCTTCCCAGCCCCTGGTTAATATTTATAATACATAAGGAAATCATTCAACCCAATAGTAAAACAAAATTCATAAACCTTAACCCCCTCTAAACAATTGAATTACAAAATGGACCAAGGACACAATGAGGCATTTTTCCAAGGAGGATGTACAAATGGCCAGCAAAGACAGGAGATGTTGCCCAACATTAACTAATCTTTAGGGAAACACAAAACAACACTACAATGACTTACCACCTACCATCTGGCTATTATCAAAAAAGTAAAAAGAAGCCAGATGCCAGTGGCTCATGCCTCTAATCCTAGCTACTCAGGAGGCTGAGATCTGAGGATAAAGGTTGGAAGCCAACACAAGCAAGAAGATCATTGAGACTCATCTCCAATTAACCACCAGAAAGCTTTCAAAGATTGAGCAAAGAGCTCAGGGGTGGCCAATAGACACATGAAGAAATGCTCAACATCCCTAGCCATAAAAGAAATGCAAATCAAGACAACATTGAGATACCACCTCACTCCAGTTAGAATGGCCATAATCAAGAATTCTAATAACAACAGATGCTGGAGGGGATGTGGACAGAAGGGAACCTTACTGCATTGTTGGTGGGAGTGTAAACTTGTTCTACCACTTTGGAAAGCAGTGTGGAGGTTCCTCAAAAGACTCCACATAGAGCTCCCCTATGACCCAGCAACCCACTTTTGGGCTTTTACACAAACAAGACCACACTAAAGCTACCAGCATAACTATGTTTATTGCAGCATTATTTACCGTAGCTAAGATATGGAAGCAACCCAGATGCCCCTCAGTAGATGAATGGATCAAGAAAATGTGGTATGTATACACAATGGAATGCTATGCCTCCATCAAAAAGAATGACATTGTCTCATTTGTTAGGAAATGGAAAGACTTGGAAAAATTATATTAAGTGAAGTAAGTCATGCCCAAAGAAACATAGGTCCCATGGTTTCCCTTATTTGCAATAACTAGTATATGTATGAGTCAAGCAGAAAAGGTCAGATAAGGTGATGTTAGGAAAATGAACCCTAAGATATGTATGTATTCAAATGTTTTTTTCTTTCATGTGATTGTTTCTAACACATTCATAAGATTATTTTTTTGTTGCTTTGTATGTCTCTCCCCCACGGCATAACCCCTGCTTTCACTGTATTTGGTGTCGGTATAATTTGTGGAGGGGAAGGGAAAAAACAAATCGTTTAAATAGGGATACAGGTGGACCCATTGCAACAATGAGATGTACAAGTTGTCAAAAATCAACTTTACAACTTTGGTGGAGGGGGAGGGTTGGGTGGGGGGGGCGGGGGAGGATGGGAAGGGATGGGAAGGGGAAACAAAGGAGGAGGCTACAATGCTTGATAAGAAATGTACTCATTATCTTGCCCATGTAATTGTAACCCCTCTGTACAGTATTTTCACAATTAAAAAAAAAAAAGAAAAAGAGCTCAGGGACAGAGCCGAGGCCCCAAGAACAAGCCTCACAACTCACAAAAAAGGTAAAAAGGGCAGTGCTGGTAAAGATACGGACAAAAAGAGTACTCTTATATGCTGTTGGTGTACAGGAGCAATAAAGTTTTTATAACTATCTACCGAGGTCAATAATAATTTATTTTTTATATTAAAGTAACTGAGAGTAAACCTCAAGTGCCTTACCTTGAAAATGATAGGCAGCCTGACTCCGGTGGCTCACACCTATAATCCTAGCTACTCAGGAGGCTGAGATCTGAGGTCCCTGGTTCAAAGCCAGCCTAGGCAGGAAAAGTCTGTGAGACTCTTATCTCGAATAAACCACTCAGAGAACCAGAAGTGGCACTGTGGCTCAAGTGGTAGAGCGCTAGTTTTGAGCTGACGAGCTGAGAGACAGCACCCAGGCCCAGAGTTCAAGCTCTGTGACCAACAACAAAACAAACAAAAAAACATGATAGGTAGAAGTTGAAAGCATGGCTCAGTTGGAAGAGTGCTAGCCAATGAGTGAAAACATCAGGACCAAGTTGGATTTTCAGTCTCAGACAAAATTTTTTTAAAAGATAGGTAAATGAGGTACTAGATATTTAACTTGTCAATAAATGCACATTATTCATATTTTAGAACATCACATTGTATTTTATGAGTGTATACAATTACTATTCCTTAATTAAAAATTTCATTTGTGTGATATCTTCTTAGGTCATCTACTTTCCATTCCTGGTTAACTTGTTTCTCTTCTTTCAGTGAATATTTGTCCAAATCTGAGATAGCATCTAAGATGACCATCAATAAACTGTACCTCATGATCATTTGTAATCTTTCCCTCCTTAGTATGAATTTAACTTTAGTAGCTATTTACAATGAATAGAACATGGCAGAAATGAGAAGACATCACTTTTGAAATTCAGTTATTAAAAAATGTTATGGCTCTAGCCTTAGGTTGATCTTATTTTCTCTTTGATCACTCAACTTGGAGAAAATCAGAGCTTTCAGCTATCCTGTAGAGAAGCCCACATGGCTGGAGATCAAGCTTTCAATAATGACATGAGTGAGCTTGGAAGTTAATCTCGCATCAATGAAACCTTCAGATGAAAGTGCAGCCACAGCTGATAGCTTGGCAGCCACTTCCTGAGAAACTTGGTACCCAGATGGAATGTATCTAGAATCTTAACCCATAGTAACTGTATGATTAATAATGTTCATTGTTTTAAGCTGAAAAACTTAAGGGGAATTTACCTTTGTATCTTATTTTTTATTAATAATACTATTCCTTAACATCATCAGCTAATTCCTCTGCTCTTTGGTCCATACGTATTCATATTTTTACATTTATATCAGACAAATGCATTGTCCAGGGATTAGAAATTATTTGGCAGATTTTCTTTGTTTCTGAAGCCAGGGCATAGCTATGTGTTTTAATAGTGACTATGTCTACATGTTGGAAATTTATGAGTGCACAGTAAATAATCAAGCAACGTGTTCTTTAGAAAAGTAAGACATTTAAGATTGCTTTTCTTTCTTTTCAGGAAAAGTTTTGTAACTCTTTAAGAACATATTTCCAATTGGAGAGTACCATAATGGGAATTGCTAGTGCCAGCAAAGATTAAAATCCAAAATTTGAAGTTCAGTTTCTACTGAATTCATGTAGTTTTCATGCCATTATAAAGTTAAAAAATCATAAGCGGAACCATCAAGTCACCAATCAAGGCAGAACAGCAGAACATACAGCTTGATATCTAGGCTTCATTACCCTAGGGAGAAATAGGCAATTTGTTGTTTTTCCTTATGCATAGCGAAAACTATACATAGGAATGATACATGGGAACTATAATAACTAACATAGG